CCAAGCGTAAATTATGGACGGCTCCTTAACTCCACTCGTTTCCATTTATTTTGCGAGACGCAGGAAGTTCCGGAGTTTGTCTATCTCCTCTCTCAACCGAATCCCGAATTTCAGTGCAGTCGTCACGAGGCGAGGAGGGTTCTCTACCTGTCGCCAGTCACGAATCATGATTATTTAAAACGTTGGAATTCGACTAAGATCAACCGGAAGTGCTTCAATGGAGAGAATTAGTTGGACCGCGATAAGCAGAAAGGTACCAAGTCACATCAGCTATTGCCAAATTTAATTTGGCATTTTAATTTTTTACATGATATACGGTTTAATATCGATACATTCCGTTTTACCCCTATATATCTCTTTTTATACTTACCAAATTGAACAAACCAATTCAACGTAATGAAGACAGAGTTTTTTTGGAGGAAAAATATCGCATTCGCTAAGAATTTCGATACCAGTATCAACTACGACATTCTCTCTCTAAAAAGCCCCTGATGCCTTTATTCCGTTGAATTTGTTGGTTGTAAATTCTTTAGTCTCACGACAAAAGAAATTGATCTTAAAATACGATAAAAGTGACAAGTAGCTTAAAAATGGAACTGATCGATGCGATAAAGCGCATGTCATTCTGACACAAAATATGGCGTCCATCGAATCACCATCATCATCTGATTCATTCTGATATCATTCATCAGATTATTTTCCAAATTGCGAATGCGAAACAAAAATGAAGAACCGTTATATTCGCTTCGTCGACGATCTTCGAATTCCAAAAAATGTACGTTCTTTTAGAGGGCTATTTTGAAATTAGACATGATTGATTATACCAAAGGAAACGATGGAAAAAAAAACCCTACCATCAAAATAGAGATTGGCACTTGCGTGATTTGGAAAATTAACGGTTCAATTGGGAAAAAAATGGTATGAAAAATTGGAAGAAAAATATCCAGAATTTTCCAAGTAATTCGTTCAAGTTGAAGAAAATACGGTAACGTCTGAAGGCTCTTTTGGCGTTTTTCCTTGGTCCTTCGGTTATAGGACATTTTGTCACGGATTTTTTGTCAGCGCACCTGTTTTATCCAGCAGTTTACGTCCACGCGTTTTTTTGGCAGGGGAGTTTTGGTCCACGTACTAATTATTATTGAGAATCAAAATAAAATATTCTTGACGGCATACTCAGGAATTTTTCTGCCTAAATCGAGTCACTTTTTTCTCTAATGAAATTTGAAAGTTATGCTAAACTTTATTAAAAACGGATGCTAGGACTTGATGAGTTGTAGGACTATCCTTCTCTTTTTGTGCCGTAGCATCTTGATTCATTTCGCGGAGAACGCTGCGTATTCTTAAAGAATGCCCGTCATTCTTAGTATGTTGGGGCGTCTTCAATTTCGGATGATACTACGCAACACCTCTGTTGTGAAATAGTTGTTTGAGGTGCAATGCCGCGTTGACGCAGCACGGCGAGCAGGCGGCCAGTGTGAAACGCGCATTGGCGCCTACAAACCTAAGTAAATACTTCAAACATTGCGCAATGCGTGAAGTATCCCCTTAGGTTTGTAGGCGCCAATGAGCCTCTCGTGGTGGCTGCAAGCCGCACCGCTCTGTTCGGCTCTAATATTTAAACTCGCAGAGTCAGCGATTTTCAACTTATGATTTTGAAATGATTGCACACTCCGCATGACTATTCTCATTTAAATTGATGAAAAAAGATATGTATTAAAGGAAAATTTATTGTGTTTTCTGTAAATATTAATGTGATTCCGTGTAAAATTAAATGATTTTCAAAGCTTTCTAATTTTTTCTTTCATATTTTATGCTTTTACTGTGCTGTAGCGCAACCAAACGCTCAAAATCGATTATTTGATTCTAACAGATCGATGTACTAATGGGTTAAAACAAACGATTGCGTGCTTTTTGGTTGATTCCCCTCTTTTATTTATTTTTGTACAGTTCCTTTCAACACACGACTCATTGAGATTAATATTGATGCCATCGCTTGAAAATGTTTTACAAATATTTGCTACGTTTTACAAAGATGATTCACAAGAAAAAAGTAACATTTCATTTAAAAAATGAGTTACCATAACAACACCTCCTTCTCTTTCAATTTTCTCATTTCGATATTGTCGATATAATTTTAAAATCGGACTTAAATATAATGCTTGAACCAAGTCACTGTTGCTTATTTTACGCATGGATGTAAACTACTGGACAAAACAGGTGCGTGGACAAAAAATCGTTGACGGAATGTCCTGGAACCGGTCCTTCCGTCCCGTAACCCCTCTACTACCAAAAAAGAGATTGGCACTTGCGTGATTTGGAAAATAATCTGTCCCATAGGCGGATTCAGCAACTCGGCAACACCGCATTTCCTCCATTTAAGGCATTCTAAATAATCGATTCTTGTCGCCTGGCCCCTCCAAGAATCGATACATTTCCATAGGTTTAAATGGAGAAAAGACAATGTTGCCAATTCAGTGGTTCCGCCAATGATCAGTTCAGTTAGAAACGAATTGGCATGAAAAATTGGAAGAAAAATATTCAGAATTTTCCAAGTAAACTCGTTTCTGTTGAGGGGAATATGGCAATATCTGAAGGCTCTTAAGGCGTTTTTCTTTAGCACGGCAGTATGGCGACGGACCGAACTTGCTCGAAGCGTCATCTTTACTCCGTTTTAAAAGGAAAGTTCAAAGTGTAGGACCCGCCAGGGCGCTAAAAGTACAATTCAGGAAGGTTAATTATTTCACCCGGTCGGTTGGCGAGGCGAATGACGTCCCTTTCTTGAATGGCCCCGTGTTCCATTTATTCATTGCGAAGTGTATCATTCGCACCGGTTCTCATCCATTTTCATCGCTCGCCCCAACCCGTGCTGCAGGTCAAGCTCCACGTTACACTCCTTTATGTTATTTTTCGACGGCGCACGGTGGATCGAGTCAATAGGGGAGGTCGGACAAAATGGAGATGTTGCATGTGTGAGGAATTAGCGATTTGACTGTTGATTCTTAGGTAAAAGTTTGCGAGAAACACGATGGTGCCATTTGTTTTCTCTGAAATCAATTCCAAGCTCAAAAAAAGCTCTCAAGTTGAGACCAAAATGGACCAAAATGGGGCCACTTTTAAAATCTCAAAGTTGTGTATTAACGGAGTTATAGGCGTTGAAAGTTTCCAAATTGAGATGTTGCAAGTGTAAGGAAATACCGATTTGATTGTTGATTCTTATGCAAAAGTTCGCAAGAAACACGATGGTGCCACTGGTTTTCTCTGAAATCAACTCCCAAGCTTAAAAAAAGCTCTCAAATTGAGGCCAAAATGGAGGGGGTGTCCCACGCTATCCTGAGAGTCCGCGTCTACATCAAGACCAACTCTCCATGCGAAGATAGAAAGCAAATACAATATTGAGAGGACTGCCACTTTATTTGGGGACTCCAAAACTGAAAACACGGCAACACTGCTAATGTATTTGCTCCCTATCTTTGCATGGAGAGTTTGTTTTGATGTAGAGGTGGACTCTCAGGATAGCGTGGGATATCTCCTCCATTTTGGCCTCAACTTAAGAGCTTTTTTTGAGATTGGGAGTTGATTTCAGAGGAAACCAGTTTCACCATCGTGTTTCTTGCCAACTTTTACAGAAGAATCATTGGTCAAATCGCAAATTTCTCACACTTGCAACATCTGTATTTGGAAATTTTAAACGCCTATAACTGCGTTAATACACAACTTTGAGATTTTAAAAGTGGCCCATTGCTTTCCCTGTGAAATTTTCTTCCAGAGGCATCCCTTGAAATTTAAAATGTGACGAAATAAACATCAGAATTTGCAATTTTAGAAATAAAAGTTTTGTCCGATCTCTCTAATTGACTCGATCCACTGTGCTGCACGGATGAGTGAGGGATGAGTGGAGAGAGGGTGTGAGAAAGAGGACCTGGATAAAGTTGGACACGCTGATAAACGCGATCAAAGGGTTTGTAGCGCACACGAGATACACTGCTGTGCTAAGGATGAACGCCTTATGAGCTATCAGACGTTTCCAAATTTCCTTTTAAAAATCAAGAGTTAACGGGGAAATTTATGTATATTTTTTCTTCCGATATTTGAGAGGAATTCGTTCGTAATTTTATCCGAAAAGTCTTCAAATTTCAAGGAATAAATTTAAAAGTTTCTTCAAACAAAAATTTTTCGAGGGGAAATTTGGCAACATTCGAACCCTCAACAAGTCTTTTATGCACAACAGGGCTGAGTTTAGGGGCTGGCAAATTTTTTTAAATGCAGGGTTTTTCAAAAAATTATTTGAATTAAAAAAAAAATTGCAAACTAGAAAAGGCGACAAAATCTCTCATTTCTTGAGAGTAAAAATATAGTAATTTCTAATTCGTCGTTTCTCGGTGGTACAAGAGACAGTACCTTTAATTCTTCGAGTTAAGAGAGGAACCAAAACGCAATTCGGCCTGGAGCGGCGCATAGGGCAATGATGACGAGGACTTGAGATGGATGGAGAGGAGAAGCCCTCGGCGCGGCGGCGATGGGCATGATTCGCATGTTAGCGCCTACAAGACTGCATGAATACTTCACGCATTGCGTCAAACACAGCACGGTCAGCAGCGGTTGGCGAGAAATGCATAGCGCCTACAAGATTGTAGGAATACTTCACGCATTGCGCCAAACACAGTGCGGTCAGCGCGGCGCGGCGGCAGAAGTTAAAATTATTAAACCCCATTTATGTTTGTTTTTTCATAATTTTTTCGTCCAATACTTAATAATGGAAGGCGCTGTCCACTCAGAAATAAGTTTACGGAACTTGACTTGCGCGAAAAGTTCCCTGCACTTTTGCTAGTGTTGACGGGGCGCTCACAAAAAATGTGCCTAACACGAGTATATGCGTCTTATGCACCCCCTACCACTACCACTTTCGATACGTTCATTCCATGCTTGTTATTGACGTTTCAAAACGAATGAAAATTGAGTTCCGTTTAGCAGAATTAGTTCAATTCATACTTTGTCTACAGGTCCATTTGCACTCTCCTGGCACACATTGGATCGAGTCAATAAGCAAGGTAAGACAAAATTTAGAAACTTCAAACGCTCATAACTCCATTTATACAAAACTTTGAGGCTCTAAAAATGGTTCCATTGGTTTTCTCGTGAAATTTTCTGCTAGAAGCACCCCTAGAAATTTAAAATGCGAGGAAATAAACATCAAAATTTGCAGTTTTATGAAAAAATTTCATGAACCGACCTCTCTAATTGAGTCGATCTACCATGCGGTGTCCTGGGCAGGGGCAATACTCAAAAGCTGGTAACACTCGGTTTTGTCCATTTTGAATGCAAGTAAAATAATCGATATCTATCTAGGCAGGGTGCCTCACCGCCTCACATCGAATCGATTGTTTACAGTAGGTTCAAACCGATGAAAAACAAAGTTGCCAACTTAGGAAAAACGATGCGTGGATGCACAAGGTCTTAACCTCAGTCAACCGTAAAATTATGTCTGACATTCAAACGGATGACAATATGGGTAGTGACCCCATGGATTTAGACGTGCTGTCATTGCAGTCCAAGTTGGGTATCGATTATTTGATGGATACTGTCTGAGACGGATTGAGAAGGAGTCCTTCCACTAACCTCCTAGTGACAGTTTTTTTTTTCAGTCGGGAACTTACGTTTTCGAAACTCTCTTGAGATACCCTCCTGATGTCTACTGAGCAAATGATTGAGTGAATTATTGGGTCAAAGAGTTAATGCTTTGTAAGCTTGTTTGGCATGCTGCTCAACTTGCACCTCGGCAGATGGTTACCATCGATGCCAAAAATTTGGAAAGACGTAACTTCATGTCTCAAGCTAAAAAGATTATATACCTCCTTATCGGCAACATCTTCAGATTTTCGAAAAAATCTAATACACATATTACCTTTGAATTTTTCGAGAATATTTCTGAATTACTTACTGAGGAACAGTCACAAAAAATCTTGACCTAAAGTTTTTGGTTAAATTTTTTTTTAATGAAAAACAAAGTTTTTTTCCTCTCTTTAAACCAGAAATTTTATATTACAGAACGATGTATCCATTTTATAAAACAAACGTCACGTCTCAATACACCTACAATTTCTTTTGGCTGAACCGAGATTAAACTATCGTTTCCCGACACCCACTGCTGACCCACATTGCTATGCTAAGAAGAGACTTTATACGTGCCTCCAAATGATGCCAAATTTTCTCTATAAGAAACAACTCTCCGTTGTGCTCTAGCTGAAGTTTGCAACAGGCCCATTTTAAGCTCTTCAGCTTCAGAGGAAATTTCGCTACAATTAAGCGCACATACGCTGTTTTTTCCGGCAACCAAATAAATCTCTTTTAGATCATGATTTCTTTTAGATGCGCTCGACACAACGCTCTCATCTAAAAGAAATTATGGAAAGTTCAAAATCCCAGCATTTTACATCCATCCGACAACGTGGCCTCAGAGGGGTGGAATATTCGTCGGCGACTCGTCAACCGTACACGCCAGCCACAGCGCGAGGGGGGCGGGGGACAGGCGGGGGTGTAGGGGAGGGGGCGAAATGGTCGGGCAAAAATTGCTCGGACATTAATTTTTAAAAAGGGAATCCGGTCAAGTGCACGTGGAATTCCGTCAGATTAGAGTCGCGCCCTAGTTCTCCAGAGACGACTCGTTTAAGCAAGCCCGCCGCGCCGCGCTTAAAAGCTCCGCAGTGGTTACTCTATCGGCAATAACGCAGTTGATAACACTTTTTTACCAAGTAAACGAGCCACCGTGTTAATTAAATTGTAAACGGAATATTTTTCAGCTCAATCAGCTTTTAGTCACGGCACATTGCAAGCTAAAAAGCTCCGGAGTGGTCACTCCGTTGGCAATAACGTATCTTGATAACGCAGTTGATAACGTTTCGGTATCAGGTTAACGAGCCTACCGTGTTAATTTAATGTTGAACGAAATAAATTTCAGCTCAATCAGCTTTTAGCCACGGCATATTGCAAGCTAAGAAACTCCGCAGTGGTTACTCTGCCGGCAATAACGCAGTTTGATAACGCAGTTGATAACGCTTTTGTATCAAGTAAATGAGCCTACCGTGTTAATTAAATTTTGAACGAAATATATTTCAGCTCTATCAGCTTTTAGTCACGGCACATTGCAAGCTATAAAGCTCCGCAGTGTTACTCTGTTGACTATAACGTATCTTGATAACGCAGTTGATAACGCTCTTGTATCAAGTAAACGAGCCTACCGTGTTAATTAAATTTTGAACGAAATCAATTTCAGTTCAATCAGCTTTTAGCCACGGCACATTGCAAGCTAAAAAGCTACCCTGTTGCTAGTTTGTTACAAATCACGTGTCTTCATAACGTGTTTAATAATTACAGACAATTTATTTTACAGACCCCGCACTAACAAACTAAGTAATGTCATCGGGTGAGGCAATTTTTAAATTCGGAGGGGATTATTTTCATTTTTATTTTTGTGGGAACATTGTGAATACCAACAACTGAGTATTCACCATGAGTATCGTAAAGGCAACGCAATGAGTATCGTAAGGGCAACATAATGGGTATCGTAAGGGGATATTTTCTTCGTCGTGATCGTAAGGACCCTTACAAGATTTTTAAAATTGCGGTCAAATCCAGGTTCTTGAAGACGCAACATTAAGCACTATGTCTTTAAACATTCCAGCACACATTAAATGTTCTGTTTTTGAACATTCAAACATTCCGTCGATCATGTTATTGATGCTAAATGATGCCTATTTAAGCTCACTTCTCTCCAACTTTTAATGAATGTCAAATATGTTAAACAAGCTTAGGCACTCCGCCTCCAGATTGCGCTGGAGCTTTGAATCCAAGCGTTCTTCTCGACCGTGCACTGATTAAGTTTATTTGGCTACCGTTTTGCTAGGAAATTCATTATAAATTTCCCTCGGAGCTTTTAGTTAATGGAAGAATGAAAGATAGGGAAAACAGCATTAAATTTTAAAGTTTGCCCCCAGCGAAGAATGACTGTAAGTGAATTTTCCTCATTTCTTCGTATTCCGCCGGTTGAAAATATCTTGGGTCCATTCGGAAATAGGAACTTAAAATATGGAATGACAGTCAAACGCAGCACTTAGTCCAAAATAACTTATTTACGGACCTGCAAATCTGGCCTGCGGCGACTTAACGAAGACCGCTGTTGTCTGTTTTTACGAGTAAATTTGTGTGGATGCGCGACACATTCAACTTTTTCATTCTTTTTTAATTCTTTTTTCATTCATGATCTTTGAATTTTGATTTTACTGCAGTTTAATATTTTAATATAAAAATTTAAATGTAATGTCCCCATCTTTTTTCCAATATTGACCCATACGGTATCATTTTTAATTGTGTCTTATCATTTTACTTCAGTGGAACTAGTATCATAGTATTTTCAGATTTTTTAAATTTCATTATGTTGCACTTCTCTTGTGTGCAAAAAACACATATGATACAAATAATGTCATGCTTTCTTATTTTTTTTGACGCACTCATCGTGATTGGCATCGCACTCATCGTACTCGGCAGTTGTACCTTTACGAATTCTGTTCATTGATCGTACATCTCTAGGGCGCAACTGATCAATATGATACCGAAAATGTTCTGAGTTGTTTTATTCTTTTGACCTGATTATCGTGCCTTTTGGGCGGTTTTACGCGCACAAAATGTATTAATTATCTCCACGTGTAACAGATGTACATATGGATTGCATTTTGCAAAAAGGAACCAGGAGCATTGCAACATTGGCTAAGATTGTGCAGCCTCTTTTGTCTTGGAAGGAAAACCTGATTATCTATGAACAGTTTCTATTTTAATCGCTAAAAACTGTAAATTTACGACGAAAATTACCATGTAAATTTCATATTTTTTCAGAGTTTTAATAGTTATATTGCAATGGATAAAGTTGCACAGTTTCAGCAACATTGCAATGCTCCTGGTTCCTTTTTGCAAAATGCAATCCACGTGTGATACCTATAACACTCTGAGCCTGTGAAAAGGCAGAGAAAAAAACAGAGCAGGTAGAAGAAAAGGCAACCGCATAGTTACTCAGGTGTCAATGACATAAGAACCGCGTGAACTGAACATCAAAGATTACCCGGTTCTTGTTTGTAATTAAATATTCCTTCACTTGGGCAGTGTCTCGCTCGCCACTCATTGCGAGCTTTAATTCAATAAATGAATAATCGATGAAGCACCGGTGGTTTGGAGATGTCTCTCGCATTGCCAGATCAAGTGCGAAAGTTCCACATTTTTCATTAAGATATGCAGAAAGAGCCAGCGGATTTCCGCCGCAACCCAGCAATTCTAGCCGTTATACGGCCTCTCGTCAGCTCTGTCGCCCCTTGTAAAATATGCCGCCAATATTTTAGTCTTGTTAGCCGAATTACCCTCCGTCAAAAACTATTTCCGAAATAAAGCCGGGATTATCGTATTCCTCGTAACACTGCACTGAAAAAAAAATTCTCGGCGTTTTTACCAAGGTCCGTTGGTACCTTTACCATCTCACTTTTTTTTTACCAATTATTGGTAATTTTACAAAGACAGACTGGTCAGCTTACCTTAAAACCGGTATTTTTACTGTTTTTTCAGGTAAGAATACCACTTTCATTGGTAATCAATTCCCGGTAACTTTGCCATTTTATCTCGGTAATTCTACCACAGTCGATAAAAAATATTGGCGTTTTTACCGGGGCCCAGTAAAATTACCGAAAAAGTCTATAATTTTACCAAGATTTCTCGGTAAAATTACCAATTCCATAAATGGTAATTTTACCAAGAAAAAACTGGGATCAAGTAGAACCCTGAATTCTTGGTAATTTTACCCTTTTCTTAGTAAACACACCGAGATTTTTTTTTCAGTGTGACGTACTCTTCTCCCATGCACAAAGTAAGGTGGAGAGGGGAGGGTGCCGACGGGTTTATAACAATTTTTTTTTATCACTAGTGTATTTTTTAGTGATATCATTCATTCATAATTACGGAATATAAAAAGACGTCTTTTGATCCAGAATTAATGTGAATATTTCAGGCAGAT